GAATCATTCAAAAATGTTATGAAATTAACAAATGAAATCTAATTTAGTTGCAACTCTCTGAAAGTATCATCTTCAGAAATGTTATCAAATTACATTTCAGGAGAAAATTTTTCTAATCATTTATAAACTATTTTTTTTTTTTTTCAAATATTTCTGGTGCCATTCAACATTTCCAGACATTGAATTCACTGCTGTCACTTCAGATGTTTTTTGTTTTTGGTGTTTATTGCAAATGTGTGTGTGTGTGTGTGAATTAATCTCCAAAACATAATACCCCATGTTTAGAAGCCAAAGGCAGTCTTTACTCTGATTTATACTGGTGTGTTAACAGTCCTGGAATCAACACCAAAACCTCCCTGGTGCGAGGCAAAAACACTAACCACTGTACCATCAACCAGGTTAATTATTCTTTATTAGCAAAATATAAATTGCTCAACACACTTTATTTATTTTTTTACGTCATACCATTAGAACCTCAAATGGCGGCCATTTCGAATTTGGGTGAAATCTGGGATATTTGTAAAATGGATTGACCTACATGTATGACCTATGTTTTTGGTGATGTATGGAATATTTGTCTCTCGCAAAATTAAACAGATTTAAAGTATTCACTGAATTTAATTTTGTCATTAAACAATATAAACTCACCTGAGATGCAAGTTTTACCATCAATTTGTAAAACATGACCAGGAGGGCAGATGCAATGAAAACTGCCCTCAGTATTAACACAACCATGACTACAAGGTGTCCCTCTAGATCCATGACAAATAGAAGATGAACAAGACCCCCTAGATCTGTAGTTATTACTACATTCATCAATATCTATAGATTGAAAAAACAAATTAAATTATGAAAAATCATATTGTGAAGTCCTTATATTGTTTGATATCCTTCATATTATGAAAGTTTTAACAACATTGTATATGTATTTCGTTTCTTTACCAAGTCTGAACAAAATTGATCAACCTGTGGCTACAAAATGCATGCTCATACATGTACCAAGTTTTGATTACACTAACACTTCTGATCAAACATTTTACAGAGTATTTCGAACATAAATTGCCACCAGTCAATGAAATTTTATTGAATATTGATAATTTTGTCATTTGCCACAAAAATTTAACTTTCGTAACTTCTGCAAACACGAACAAAAACAATTACTTTTTTCTCTTCAAATTGGCCCAATAATCATTTTATTACAGGTTTTGTCAATTTAGCAGACATATTTTCACTTACCAACACATCCATTTATAGTCGGACGATAACCGGGTGGACAGGTGTCACCCTGCTCAGTACAATCACCTACACACCCCCCACCATTTAATGGTATGCACCGTTTCTTATCAAAGTGAAGTCTATATTGGGGATTACATGTACAATGATAACTTCCAACTGTGTTGATACAATGTTGTTGACAGCCACCTCGATTCGCTAAAGAACACTCATCAAGATCTACAAGAAAAATAATGTGTGTGCTTGAAGGGCGGTAGTCGTCGTGCCACGCATGCGTGAGATATATGGGTCTCATATAAACAAAGATGGCAACTTTGACTGTTGCGAAGATCAACGAGTACAAACTGAGACGTTACCAAGCTTTAATTAGGTATATAGAAGGTTATTGGAGGTATCGAAGAAGTCATTGGCAGTAATTAGTGCAAATCGCGTCCAAGTCAAACCTCATACTAGTAATTTTCCGTAGAAGAGCGCATTGCATTAGATTGTGGGAAAATTAATGTTTATAAACACAAATGTCACACATGCGCAGCGCGAAGATTGCCGCCCTTTAACAAATCATCCACGAAATGCCAATAGGAATGGTACATATAACATCAGGTAATGTGTTAACAAATATGGAAATGATATTAATACTGTGCAGTTTTCAGGAAATATACAATTTTCATAAAACAACTACAAAAAGAACATCTAACATTCTTAGAATTTTGTAAGATATATATAAGTAGCCCAAGTGTGCAGTATAATCCTGTTTTAAAAACATTTTTGGTTTTTATTTCAGATTAAGTTAAACTCTGCAAGTTCCTTTGCGAATACAGAATAAATACAATCGGTGTTGTTTCATGGAAACATATCTAGGAATTATTACAAATAAAAATGCACAGGTATCACTGCTGATGCCACAACACAGCAATAGTAATTAGGATACAGAAAGAGTAGCAGAATGGTCCTATAAATGCCATTTGCATGTTAATAAAAAGGAAATTAAAAAAAGTTAAATGCAAAACAAATGTTGTCAGATGTGTTTAGTCATAGAAGAGTGTGTAGCACAAAGTCCTGAAATTGTAAAGACTGCATGAACCGATTTGGCCGCAACTGAATTTAAAATGTATGCGTGTAGATCAAGTCAGTCAGTGTGTGCTGGTCGTAAATCTGTTCCTATTTGTTACAAAAAGAGTAGAATTATGTCATTTTCATAATACCTCCAGGGGGTTTTCTAGAAAAAAACTACAAGAGGGAGCACTGCAATTTAGCGACCCAACCAAGTGGGGGAGATAGGGTTCTCTCTACCAGGGTGTGGAATTTTTAATAATTCTAAGTTAAAATGGAGCATTCTATGGCTTCCTTGGGGCCAAAATTACTATC